AGGGGAGGAGAATGACGTGTCGTTCCACATCACGTTTCGTCGACCAAGTAAGCACTGGGTGTTGTACAGCTCGACATTTAACGGTCACATAGACGTCACGTGAGCCACGCGTGCTATTTCCGTCGAAGCTACCTGCCGACATTAACGGCAGAACATAAAGTGATCAAAAGTAGTAAGTTTGAGGACATATTTCGTGGATTGAAATGTTTGAGGACATAAATCGTTTTAGTGGTAAAGTTTAGGGACATAAACTATAATTTTCCCAAGATTCAAGCATAGTTTATCTTATTTTACTTATTTATTTTATTTTATTTATCATAAGAACTACGAGTAGCTAATTTTCTTTTTCTAGGATTTTATTTGGAACCCTATGTGGGATTTATGAACCCAATTCTATAATTTTATGCAAGTTTTAATTCCGGATTATTTCTTCTACTTGTTTTATTAAGTGCATGAACTTGATCAACTTATGTGTTTTTATGTTATTGTTAATCGCATGAATCGGAAGATCGGGTTAATAATTAGAACTGTGGTAGAAGAGCCTTTGTGGTATTAACATAGGAATATAGTTAATCTCTTAGGTAGCCATTATTGAGATTTGTGCTTAATGCTGTGTTCTAGAATTAAATGCATAAGAATATAGTAATTGAATCTAGAGTATTAGAATTGTAATACACGCGGAAGCGGGTTATGATTATTTTAGCATCTCATGTTAATAATTCGGGTTAATTGCTTGCATAATTGAAGGAATTGGGGGAATAATAATCACATAGGGGGAAGAATAAAATCCTAGGCTTGTTTACTTTGATTAAATCTTCGATTTAAATTGCTTTCTTGTTTTCGCTTGCTTTTTAATTTGGTTAATTCTCTCAAAATTCGACTGTATAGGGTGGGCTTGATAATAATTGGTAGGATTTAGCGTCTAGAATTAAGTAATTAAATATTCCCTGTGGGTTCGATATCCGGACTTAATTGTCCAGTATATTACTTGTACAATACGTGCACTTGCGTGTAGGTTTTCGGCCAACATAAAGCCGACCCATGAACAGTCCTAGAATGTATCATCACATTTAGGGATGGCAACGGGTCGGTTCTGGGCCCACGAAAAAAATATACACCCCAGATCCCCCCAACTCATTTTAGCTTAGACACAGACCCACCCCGACCCAAACCCTAACTAAACAGTTCTGACCCGCCAGACTTTGCCCGACCCAGACCCTAACTAAACGGTTCTGACCCGCTAGACCCGTTAACATATAAAAAGTTTAATATTTTTTAACTTTTATAAATACTTACCCTAGCGCGCCTCTAACCTTCGAGCGCTTTCATGTGTCATATTTTTTATTAGTTAATTTTGGGTTGTGACGTGTTTTTTATAACTTAATTTTAGGTTGTTCTTTGTTAATTTTCTCAAATAATATAATGAAAGTACAATTTCACTTTTAATCAAATATCGGTTTTATGACGAACCGATTCAAGCCGATAGACGAAACCGAAATCGAAACTAAACCGAATTGATACTGAAACTGTTAACCGAAAATCGAAAAATCGTTAAACACCGAACTGAAAAAAACCGACATGTTCGGTTTTTAAAATATGAAAAGCCGATATTTCGGTATGTGTTTGGTTTATTGCAAAAACCAAGCCGTACTGACCCGTGCACACCCTTACATAATAATACAATTATTTTTTATTATTTAGGATTAATGAGGCGTAACCCCCTCATTAGCAAAAATATTAGAATTATGTACCTAATATTTTTTTTAATATGGTGCAACCCCCTCCATTTTACATATTCCCATACTATCTCTACATTTTTCTTTTGAACTAGACCCCCTTCCTTTAATATAGGATCAGTCAACCAATTTGTGCGCTCTTTCTTCTTTAATTATTTTAATTTTTTCTTTAATTATATTTCAATTCTTTTTACTTTTACCTTTTTTATTTTGTTTGGAAAGATTTACGAAATTGTAGTGAACAACTAAATTAATGAATTTAACTATTGACTTTAGTAGTCAATTATAATATTCTACAAGTTTGCTATAAAATTGTTTCAGTCAACTACAAAATAGTGAAAGTTAACTATAAAATTTTAATAGTTAGCTATAAACTGTGATAGTTAACTACTAAATAATAGAGTTAATGATCATTTATGTACCATAATTTTATGACCAAAACTGACCACCGTCAAACTATTCAACCATCGGCGAGTAATTCCAACACTTTCACAATCACGCCCAAAGTCTCAAACGATCTCAACTATAATACTCTACTAGTTTGCTATAAAATTGTGTCAGTAAGCTACAAAATAGCGAAAGTTACGGAATTTTAATAGTTAGCTATAAATTGTGATTGTTAACTACTAAATTATAGTAGTCAATGATCATTTCTGTACCATAATTTTATGACCAAAATTCACCACCGTCAAATTATTCAACCATCGTCAAGTAATTCCAACACTTTCACAATTACGCCCAAAGTTCCAAAGGATTTCAATAGTCTGAAGCATATGGATACCACCTTCCTTGTAAATTCAATTTCTCTAAAAAAAATGAATTTCCACAATACAACTATCACTAGCCTTAATTTTCCTTGAAAAGTTAGATCTGAACCAATGAAATGAGCATGAGGCTCCGAGACAATAACGCGAGACTCCAGCGTCGGAGATTTTTTAGTCGGAAAATCAACGGTGAGGGGTGCGTTAAGAAAGAGTGGCGGGGATGCTGCTTCGTCGGAAAATATATCTCAACGTTTCCTTGTTACTAGACCGGGTGAACCAATGGTAGCCATGAAGATGCGGCGGCTATGGATCCGTCAATTTTGGTAGAGAAGATATACAAGCCGATTTTAGTAGTGAAGAGAGACATCGCGAGTGATTCGAGAGAAAGAAAAGAAAAGAGAAACATAAAGAGACGTATCAGGGAAGAGAGAAGGGGAGAGAGAAAGTGAATGAGAGAAAAAAGGAAAAATAAATACTAAAAAATATAAAAAGAGGGGGGATCAGAGAGAAAGAAAAGGACGGTTGAGAAGAGAGAGAGGAAAGAGAGAAAAAGAGTGGGAGAATAAGGACAAAACTAGAATAATAAACATGTGAGGGGGTGTGACTTGTGAGGGAATCTCACAATTCCTAATGTTAATTTTAGATGGGATTATTTTAGAGACACCATCATATGGAAATTATATATAACTAACGACCAAACTAATTACATCCTTGTGCATACCGCATACCCCTTCTATTTTGAAATTAATTTCACGGACCCCCTCGCCCACCCTGAAGTACCACCCTGGGAATTGGTTTCGCCCGAAGCATCTTTATAATACCCTTTTAAAATCGGTTTTAAACCTAGCTAGTCACATTCCCCTCTCTCTCTCTCTCTCTCTCTCTCTCTCTCTCTCTCTCTCTCTCTCTCTCTCTCTCTCTCTCTCTCTCTCTCTCTCTCTCCCAACTCCCAGATTCAAATCCCGCCTCCATAGGTCTCCAACCGGCAAAGTTGCTTCCCGGAGTCATAACTCTCTCTCCGGTGGTCGGAATTCGATGGTTTAAATATCGTTGGATTTCTCTCATCGAACTCTTTCTTTTGGTAGTGATTTCATTCAGTTTAGAGAACTAGATCTGTTTCTGCAATTTTTTTCAGTCGACGTGTATTTCAACGATGGTCAAATCCCGCCTCCATAGATCTCCAACCGGCAAAGTTGCTTCCCGGAGTCATAACTCTCTCTCCGGTGGTCGGAATTCGATGATTTAAATATCGTTGGATTACTCTCATCGAACTCTTTCTTTTGGTAGTGATTTCATTCAGTTTAGAGCACTGGATCTGTTTCTGCAATTTTTTTCAGTCGACGTGTATTTCAACGATGGTGGGTCTTGCCGGAGGTGTATTTTGTGTTATACCAGTCGGAATTTGACGGGCTACCCACTGTTGGATTCCTCTCGTCGAGATTTATATTTTGATGGTAATTTTCGTTCATTTTTATATTATCAGATTTGTTTATATAATTTTTTTCATTTGTGAGCACGGAACCTTGGGTGGTTAGCGGCGCTAGGGTTTTGGTAGGAGGCGATTGGGGTGAGGAGTCATTGGCGGTTTGGTTTAAAATTCGTAGCATTTTGTAGCTATGTCATCTCTTTCTATCTCTCGATCTCTTAGTGTTTATTGATTTTTGAGTGGTTTGATGTTTCTTCATTTTTTGTTGATTTGCACTAAAGTATTTTTTTTTTGTTTTGATTTTGCAATTGCAGCTTAATGAAAGCCATTGATCTTTCCTTGAAGGTGTCAAAAATTTGGTTGAAGTACATCTGCTTCAAATTACAATGTTCAATAGTGTATACATTAATGTACATTACTATACATTACTAGTTACATATAGTAATATGTAGTTACATATGCATATATTTGTGTATTTTCGATTTGTATTTTATTGGTTTTTAGGTGATTTATAATATAAATATTGAAATTTATAATTTTTTGTTGTTGGGGTTTATGAATTTCTTTTGACATAATTGATCGATTAAAAATATAGGGTAAAAAAAAGAACATAAATACGAATTACTATAGTTTAGTACAGTTACACGTAGTTATTTTCAGTAAACTAAACAATATTCATTTAAAAAAAATGAATTAAAAAAGAATAATAATAATAATAAAATATATATATAAATTAAACAAACAGGTTTATAAAAAAAAGCAACAATAATAAATAAATCAACGAAAATGCTAAATGAAGAACAAGAAATGTTGAATGTCGTTTGGTCGAAAATTACATATAAGGGTAGTATAGTACTTTTGCCTATCTAGGGGTATGTCAAATAATGATTTTGGCTTGAATTTATCCCTAATTTATCTGGTAGCTATGAGTTATGTAAAATAAGCCCTTTTTAGATTTCTTTGCAAATAGTTAATATTAAAATAGGTCTCGACTCTATTATTTTGTGTATTGAGTAGGTTATCCCTCATTTTCCCTATATAATACAACCGAAAGCAACTTTATTTATTTTGCAGCCGAATTTATGAGGATGCGGGGTTTTGGAATAGCTATGCTTTGTAGAGCAATTACTACTGAATCTTCTCATGAATACGGTGCTTTTACTTCTTCTTTCTCTTTCTTCTTTCACAAAAATAGGCCCTTTTCAACTGTGCGCAGAACATATTTCACTCGTATAAATGAATTAGATGATACTGTTTCCCTTTTTCGTGACATGGTAAAGATGCAGCCACATTATTCTGCCTTTAAATTCGACGAGCTATTGCAAGATATTTCCAGTATGAAACAATACCATGTTGCCCTTCAACTGTTCGAAGAAATGCGTCAATGGGGTGCCCCTGTAAATCGGTACACGTTGAGCATCTTACTTAATTGCTGCTGCCTTCTGAAACGTGTAGACCTCGGTTTCGCTATCTTCGGCAGCTTCTTTAAACATGGCTACGAGCCAAATGTTACGACATTCACCACCCTCTTACAAGGGCTCTTCTTAGATGGTAAAGTGGCCGATGCCGAAAAACTGTTCAACAAGCTTTTGGCTTTGAAACTCTGTGAGCCGATCGATGTTACAATTCTGACTGGGATAGACGGGCTCCGCAAAAATGGACATATTCTTGCTGCTCGTGATTTGCTATATTTATTCGATAAGACTATCTATAAACCCGATGTTAAGGCTTATAACGCGGTAATAAATGGCTTATGCAAGAACGGAACGTTGGATGATGCACTCGAGCTCAAGTCTAGAATGATCGATAAGGGCATTTCACCCACCGTTGTCACGTATACCTCGATGGTTCGGGGCTTGTGCGATTTCGGTAGATGGAAAGAGGTGAAGGGTTTATTAAATGAAATGGTGAATCATAAGATTTCTTTAGATGTTGTTACTTTAAATGTGTTGGTGGACGCGTTTTGCAAGGAAGGAAATGTTAAAGAGGCTCGGGAGGTATTGGAAGTTATGAATCAGCAAAATATTTGTCCCGATATTGTCACTTACAATGCACTGATACATGGGTACTGTTTGCAAGGGAAAATGGATGAAGCGAAAGAGTTGTTTGATTCCATAATGGGCAACGGCGTTAAGCCATCTATTATCAGCTACGGCACTTTAATGAACGGATACTGCAAGCGGGGAAAAGTTGATGAAGCGTTGCGTCTTTTTCTGGAAGCTTCTTCTAAAGGCTTAGAGCACACGACAGTTACGTATAGCATCATGATACACGGATTACTTAGTGAAGGCAGAAATGCGGATGGATGGAAACTTTATAAGGATATGGAAACTCGGCAAGTACATCCTAATTTAAGTACTTGCAATATTTTGTTGGAAGGCTTGTGCAAGACTCATCAGATTGCCGAAGCGTTTTCGTTTCTACGGGCGATGGAAGATAAAGGAGTAAGTCCTAATATAATCTCATACGGTATCCTGATTAATGGTTTGTGCAAAGATGGGAAACTTGAAGAGGCAAAAAAGCTTTTAAACGAGCTTCCTTCCAAAGGGTTGAAACCTAATATTAAAATATATGCTGTCATTATTCGTGCACTTTGTGAAGAAGGATTTGTAGACGAGGCAAAAGATTTGCTTATAAAAATGGAGAGAAGCGGTTGCGCACCGGATAGCATGACATACAACACCATTTTTTGTTGCTTGCTGAAGAAGAAAGAGGTTTACAAGGCAATGCCGTTCTTAGAGGAAATGCACAAAAGGGGATTCTCGGCCGATGCATCTACTTTGTCCATGTTAATTAGTTACCTGCAAGAATCTGAGGAAGATGAAATTCTGATGGAAATTATTAAGAAAGTTGTACCAAAAATATAAATTATCTATTCGAGCTTTTGAAATTAATGTTTGTTTCGCTACGTCTTAAATGACTTGTTATCTTTTCCTTTCTCCTTTTGTTTCTGGTTCATGTAGTCTCTCTCTCTTAATCTTGAAATTTTTTATCTCTTTACATGTTTGCTTCAAATGTAACGTTTTATCAAATAAACGAAGGTTCTCGTGTATCCGACTAATTTGATACTGAATTGGATGTTCATATTCTAGATGCATTAATTAGAATAGTAGACACCTTACTGCTTGAAAAATAAAAATAGTCGGGACTTATCAAAAAAAAAAAAAAAAAAAAAAAACGATTGGCCATTGCTAGTGCTCTTATTTGGCTGATTGAGGACACTTGGCATGAGACGGCATTGTTTTTTTATTTCTTTTTAGTTAAACGGTGTTGGGTTTTTAGTAACTGACGTTAGTGGTGATTATTTTGAGTAACGAAATGAACCTTTTTTTTTCGTAGTAAGGAAATGAAACTTTTTATTTTGCTCGCTCGTCTGGCAATTAAATTTTGTTTGCATTTGCAAGAATTAACCATGAAACACTTGCTGTCACCAATTTGACGAAGGAAAGATGTAAACTGTTTATGAAAGGAGATACGGTGCAAGTAATATAATTTGTTTAAGCTTGGAATCCATCTCTTCATGTAGTGATGATAATCTGTCTAAGCGCTTGCTGATTTATGTAACTAATCTTCGCAAATAAACTTTCTAAGTTGTTTGTCTATTTATGTTCATGTGGTGATAATACTCAGTCTATTCAATATGTGTCGTTAAGTCCTGAGTCTAAGTTGTTATAACTGTTGTTGAGTGCATGAAGGGTAAAATCGTATGTCCAATTGCCCATATAATCCAATTTTGCCCTCCCAATTTACTCAAACTCGACAAGAATTAGACCGGAAATACACATTTGGAGAAAAATGCACTGAGTTGTATATTTTGAATGGGGATAGTCTCGTTTTGTTTATTTTGGCTAAGTGGAGTTAATTGCACATACCCCTTGTAGAAAGTCTAATTGCCGGAAAAGACCCCGTGTTAAAACAATTAATCTACACCTACCCCCACCCCCAGTTATCGCGTTTTATGGCCCTTACATCGGATTTAGATGTAATGTTGACTTAATTGAAAAGACAAAATTACCCCTGAAAATAAAGTAAAAGACCAAAACCCCAATTTGATTATACCAATTGTATCTAAATATTTATCAAGGCTGTACAACGTGGAAATCGGGTGAAGGCGGTTAGTCACCGTCTCATGATTAATCGGTGCGGCGTGATTAATCGGCGATAAATCGAAAATAAATCTATTTTTAAAATTTAATAAATAGATTTCTAGATATTATTTGTAAATATTCAAAAAATATACAAAAATATATTTAAACATGATTATATACCAATCATTTACATATCCTAATAACATAATAAAAATATAATAATAATATGATCATAATACAATAAAAATCCTTATAAAATACAAATAAAACCCAAATCTTTTGAATTTAAATTTATTCATGAATATTACAAGCATATATCATTAGGTTCTTTAACAATGAAAATTAACATAATAAATAAAGTATAAACTCATTTTTTTTAAATGAAAGAGTCAACTTTTATTTTGAAATCAAAACGTAAAAAAAAGAAAAAATCGATTTTTGTCCCATTTTTGTCTGACATGCCTCCAAGGTTTGACCGCCTAAAACTGCCTCAAAGGCCAAAACCCGATTTTTAAAACATTTACACCAAAATCGTAAATGTTTGGGACCGCCTCCGCCTCGAAGACTAATTAATCGACCGCCTCGGCCTCTTTTAGAACACTAATATTTATACATATCTCTTAGAACACTCCTCCGAGGCGAATTCATCGTCTCGATTGTGAAATATACCTAGATCATGGACTTTCTCCGGCTGAGTTTAATGGATTTGGCATCCGAATTGGGGAATGAACGTCAATTAATTTAATGGGAAAATTACATTTTATGTCCCTAAACTTTACCACAAACGATTTATGTTCTCAAATATTTCACTCCACGAAATATGTCCTCGAACTTGCCACATTTGATCAATTTATGTTCTGTCGTTACGTCGTCAGCCAACTTTGACGGAAATTGCACATGTGGCTCACCAAACTTCTATTTGGTCGTTAAACGTGGTGTGGAATAACATATGACATTGAAATGTTGACATCGCAAACAAATGTACTAATTTTCCCTCACATTTCTACCTCACTCTTCCCAAATCACACTTCATGCTTCATCCCATAAACCCTAGCTATCCAATTCCAAAATATCTTCCAATCTCCTCAACCCACTCCCAAATTTCCAATCTAATCTGCATTCTTGATCGAATCCATGTTAAACTCGAAGTCATAAACCCATAAAAAAATCCAGACATTCTCACGTTGCAAGAGTTCTTCCCTTATGAGACGCCGCGTTGCTGTGAGTGAAATCAAAACTACCACAAACCTCCCAAAATCCCAAAATCGAAGTTGAAAGATATTAACTTTGAGAAAACTTACCCAATATCAGAAATTGTTGCTTGATTATGATGTCAGTGGTCCACAAATGTTCGAAACCCTGCGAAATTAGGGTTGGGCAATCTTACTATTGCAGAATTTCACCTTAATTTTAAGCTTCGTATAGGTAATGTGGGGGTAGGGTTTCTGCGTTTTGGTTCAATAAATTTGGGGGTAATGATATGTGAGTGTTGGTGAGATTGAAATAGAGGAAGAGAGTTACGTGTCACTCCACCTCTTATTATTTCGCCAGATCGATGTATGTAGTTATTTCACGTCACATTTAACGGCCAGATAGACATCACATGAGCCACACGTGCTATTTCTGTCGAAGTTGACTGACGACATTAACGGCGGAACATAAATTGATCAAAATGGCAAGTTCGAGGACATATTTCGTAGATTGAAATATTTGAGGACATAAATTGTTTTGGTAATAAAGTTTAGGAACATTAAGTGTAATTTTCCCTCAACTAATAGACATATTCATTGTGTGCATTTGGATTTTTGATGCGAACTCTAGATTGCAAGGCATACTTGTTCTTGCAATTTCAATTTGCGAGGTTGTATTCTGGAAATTCTCCTTTCCAATTTCATGGGATTGCCTGATAAAAGGAAAGATGAAGATGTAGGGTATCAAACTGCCCAGCTCCATAAAGTCTAGATTAGTACAAGTCCCCCTTGAGCAGTATTAGTTACTGCCAAGGAGAATATATACTTACGTACAACAGAAAGTTAGAAATAAAGGTGAATAAAATTGAAAGATAAATAGATTGAGAATATCAGCTCAGTCTTCCAATTTTCAGACCAAAGATTCACACTTTCACTATACACCACCAGAGTACCTCAAGAAGAACAGATCTTCTTTCTCTCTCAACACACAAACCCTAGTTTTACCCATAATACCATGAAGGAAAGAACAGATCAAGCACTCAAGCTTACCCACTCACCAAAACCCAATTTCAGAACTCACAAATAGAAAAACTGAGAGATTTAGGTCGAGTCTAGGGTTTTATCTGTGTCTTATCCTCTTCCAACCTCCATGCCAGTATTTATAAAGACTGAAGTCAAATAGAGCCGGTGAAGGCTGTACTGGAGGGTCAAAGTCAGCTATGTACCGTGCTCTTTGACCTCCAGCCATTAACAGAGTCAAGGCAGTACAAGGGAGGAAGAAGACAGAAGTAGGAGCAGCGGAGAAGAAGAGGTAAAGGCTAGGGTTTCAGAATGAGAGAAAATAGGAGAGAGAAGAGAATATTTAAGTGAGAGAATAAACGGTCCAGATTCAGCCAGAAATCCAACGGATGGATTTAACTCAGATATAGACTTGGGCTCACTTACTCATTCTTGGGCCTAACTCAAATGTGGTGTATAAAATAGGAGAGCACTTGGGCTTTCTGGCCCAAAACACATTTGGGCCAAAAACCAACAGAAGATGATTTGCGGATTTGATTTTTGTTGATTGAAGAAGAGGGCTTTTGAGAATGTTGAGGGCTAAATTGGAAGATGGCTATTTTCTGGGCCGAAATCTGCAATATTTGAAAATTTTAATTTAAGGGGCATTTAGGTCTTTTCAGTGTAAAAAACAAACTTCTTTTTTTTTCTTTCTTCTTTTTACTGGAATTTGGAAAATGATTTCTCTTGGGAGTTTATGTGGTGCTCTCTACGAAGCAAGAGTTGTGCGTTAATTTTGCCGGCGAACTTCTCTTCAACGAAATCTCTGAGGATGAGGGCTTCTGAAATAGCTCTTGTTTGTAGATCAATTACTGCTAATTCTTCTCATGAACGCGGTATTTTTACTTCTTCTTTCTCTTACTCCTGCCACAAATTTTCAACTGTGTCCAGAGCAGATTCGATTTGTATAAATGAATTAGATGATACTGTTTTCTTGATTCGTAAAATGATGAGAGTGCGGCCACAGCCCTCCGTTTTTGAACTCAACAAACAATTGCAAGTTATTGTCAAGATGAAACAATACTCCGTCGCCCTTCAACTGTTCGACGAAATGCGTCAATGGGGTGCCCCTGTAAATGTATACACGATGAACATCTTGATTAATTCTTGTTGCCATTTCAGAGGGGTAGACTTCGGTTTTGCTATCTTTGGCAGCTTCCTTAAGCACGGTTACGAGGCAAACGTTACGACATTCAACACTCTCTTAAAAGGTCTCTTTTTAGATGGTAATGTGGCCGAGGCGGAGAAATTGTTCAAGAAGATTTTGACTTTGAAACTCTGTGAGCCAGACGATGTTACGATTCTTACTGCGATTGACGGGCTCTGCAAAGCTGGACGTGTTCATACTGCCCGTGATTTGCTTTTGTTGTTGGAAAAGACTATCTATAAACCCGATGTTATGGCTTATAGCGCGGTGATTAATGGCTTATGCAAGACTGGAATGGTGGATAATGCACTCGAGCTGAAGTCTAGAATGATTGATAAGGGCATTTCACCGACTGTTGTCACATATAACTCGATGATTCAGGGCTTGTGCGATTTTGGTAGATG